TTGGTAAATGTTAAAGACTAAATGTTATTTTTGATATTGTTTTTAGGCATAAATTGGCCAAAAATATTCAAAATAAAACTCCTCCTGTGCTACATGATGGTCTGAAAATTTATTCCATGGAAGAACTCTAGTATTTATGGCAATCTTTACATCTGAATATTCTGATGAAATTGTCCATGAATTACCGTATATACTCGCCTATAAGTCGTTTTTTTGGGAGTTAATCTCTGGTCCAAAACTCTATGTCCGACTTATAGGCGAGCTATAAAATTAATGGTATTATATGAGGTCAGTCCTGTGATATATAAGCTTATTAAATACAACGAAGTTTATCAACAGACTAGTAAATTTTATATAATATCTGGACATAGGGAAGTTGCTCAAAGCAGTTTCCGGGTTAAGCAATTTATCTAAAAGAAAACATAATCAATTTCATAGTGAAAAATTATCCGTTTATCGTTGAACTTTAGGATTTAAATATCAGTACATATTTTGTGTATATTTAACCATGTCACGTAACAAACAGCTGATGTATGTGAAGTCGCTTTGGCCGAACTAGGTTAAGACCCCATACATACAAGCATACATATCGATATTACATTGATTTTTCTCGGTATATATTTTAAAGCATAATTCCTATTGGCGACCTTAACGTAGCTGCATAACATTTAGTCGGCTCTATTTCTGTACATTGCTAAGAACGTTTAATAAAGGCATTTGCATTTTGCGCACTGCACACGATTTTTAAGCACAATTTTCTGAGAAATTATCTTTCATATTTGAGTTGATTCATTGAAAATACAGTCACCACGAGTCCCATACGTAGGTACAGCCGTTTCTTGCGAATTATCAACATTATATTTTTACCAAATTTACAAGTATAAAACACAACACATTAGATAGTATATGAATGCATTCAAGTCTATAACTTATTAATACTAAGGTGAAAAATTCAACATGCCAGTCTGTTACTTATTGATACTAAGGTGAGAAATTCAACATGCCAGTCTGTTGCTTATTAATACCAAGGTTAGAAATTTAACATTATTAATAGATTATAAATGTAAACAATTTTAAAATAAACTACATGTATTTGTGAAAAATTTTTAATTTTATTAGATTACTAAATTGGTCTTATCATTCCTACTAAATTAACAACCTTAAAATTGCCAAGTGTCATGTTTTAAACTGTTACAGTAGATATAATTATACATGTTCACTGCAGCTTTATATACAAAACTTGTCAGTTTTCAGAAATACTTATTTGAGCATATTAGGTCCTGGTAAAAACAAAATTTAATGAATAAAAATATTAATCTTAATTGTTCATGTATTAATTTCCTTGCAATTTTACAAACCCTTTTAAGAAACTTGTTACATGTAAGTATAGACAAAAGCAACCTTCAATTAATACCTATGATGTATACATTTATTTTACTGAAATCAAATTCAAAGATGGACAAGCAGAGCATGAACTGCAATCATCGCATACACATATTTTCTAAATATATGGAAAACAGCATGTATATACTAGATAGGATGTTGTTGAACATTAAATTTTCTTCTATAATATATAGACATATAAAAATATGCATTGGGTATAACAAGTCAGAAGTTCTTCTCCAAATCTCCATTGATTTTGCCATGTCTGGTTCAACATCTTAGCTTGATCCATCCAACTTTCTTTAATATTCTTGAGCTGATATGGGATGACCTCTACTTTGATTGATGGCACAAATCTTTTAAGGAAACACTGAAGTACTTTTCTTTGGTTCTTATCTATTCCAATTAGTGACCCATGATCTGAAATCACATGTGTTCATTTTTATAATAACATTTAAGGAATTGCATTTTTTGAATAGCATAAGGAATTGCACTGAGTTTCATTCACTCAATGAAATGAATAAATTTCCAATATAATGAATGAAGAATCAATATGAAATTATTGTAAAATTTACAGATTGAATTAGTGAAATGCAAATGCTTGATCAAGAAAATTAATGTTCTTGTCATGCACAATCTGTATCTCTTTTTTATTAATTAGAAAATGAGATATTAATTAAAATCAAACCTCAGTTAAAAAGGTAACTTGAACAATTGAATACCTGTTCTGAGGCCTAAAAAGCAAGGATTTTATTTTACATAATTTATTGAATGAATGCATTTTTTTTTTGACAATGTTGGGATATTAGTCACATCCTGACATCCTTGTACCGTTTATTCATCGTTTTTAAATCCGTAGTCAATAGATCATTCACAACTTTGAGTAAAATGAATAGTTAAATAATTACCTGATGAAAATACTATCAACAATCAAACTGTCAACATCATCATTGGACATGGTGATGGTCAAATGCACCGTGACTTTTCTTCCCTCTTCGGACTGCATATAGCATTATACTTTACAGGATACTCTCAGGTCTTTTCTTTTTTCTTTCCCATTCTCACTTAAAATTTTAGTGTAGTGGTGAAGCGAGAAACACACATCAGCACAATGCGTCAATGACTTTCTTCTGATCGGGAATTGCTGTGCAACTTGTCACGTTTCGTATCGAAAATAAACAAGTCCTCCTTTATTGGTTCATCTACATGAATCAAGCTAATCTCAAAGGCTTCTAAGATTCCTATGCTTTGATTTGTTATAAGTCTTTCTCCTGAAAACGTCCTTTGTTTTTAGTCCTAACATTAACGAGGTCGAGTCTAATTATTTCTGCCCTAGGGATTTTGATAATTTTTTTAAAATTAATTTTTACTGTGATATTTATTGTTTTAGGATTAAAATATCCAATGTTTACCACCCCGTTTTCTTAGTGGGCCATCTTAAATATTGTCAAACTTTATTATTGGACCAAATGGGAATTTGTTGGAAAATCGCCGAATTTTTACATTTTTACAATATTTTTTGTACTTCTGCCCTAGGGATTTCTTTTTCATTCAAGTAAATGAAAGTAAATGTAAAAAGTCATCAAATTGTGAAATTTCAAAAAAGTTCACCATCTCGATTGGTCTAGGTCGAAGCCAAATACCTCTAAAATTGCCATATTACGGTAAAAATACATATCTATGGTTACGTTGTTAGAGCCATTTCAACGTTCTTTTTCCAATAATTGTTGTAAAATCACATTTTCAGATCAGTAGGAGTTACAAATAATGTTAATTTTGTATTAAAATAAAACAATTTAAGACTGCATAAAATTAAAAAGCTGCGCAAAGTGATGCGCACTCGAATTAGACTCGGCCTCGTTAAGTGACAACAAACATCAAGTATGACAGAGGAAATTCGTTACCGAGATGCTTAGCATCGCTGGTTTAAATTCGCCTGTTTCAAACGCTTTGGTGATTCGCAAGAGTTATCTCCCTGTTAACGCAAACCTTACCTTAAAGAGTATTTAAACCTAATTGTTGCATGGTTTGATATCTAAAAAAACAAGTGGAATATCATTCTTTCAGCAAACATTAAAAGGAGGAATATTGAAAAGAAATTTTATTTACTTGACAATTAAAGAATCTCTTTTCAAACACAATTTTAGCATTGAAAGACTACGTGAATCTCTTAATTTTTTAATTTCTCACTTGAAAATGTTCATTGCAAGTCTGGTTGTTCTACCGAGGAGGGGGAGGGGGGGTATAAAAAGAATATGTATTTGCAAAGACTTAATATCTTTAATCATATTGTGATAGTCTGCATGTATAGGATGGAACAAATGAAAAATATACAGCATCGAGCATCGTCCGAATGAAACCTTATTAATAACTTATTTGTACGCACGGATATTAATTCGCCTGCTACAAATTTCTACTTTTTTCCGACAATTTTTTTTTTCTGAAACAACGTATCAATGGAGTTAGTATAGGAAAAAAATATTTTCATAAATTTCATCTCCAGCGTTTGATCCATTTACATGTTCCATCTTTGATTTCCTTTATCAGAGAAATACTTAATTGATTGATTGTTAATTGCTTAAAACTGATTTGTCAATTTTTCGGCTGAGAGAAATGAGGAATTTAATCACCCCTACATGCTAAGAACAACAAAGATAAAATCTATTCGAACAATTGCATGAATTACTCGAAGGAAGAACAATTATGATGTTCAGCATATTTTTCCCTTTCATTTCGCCTGTTATAAATTTTGTATCACTTTAAAGAGGGTCATTTTTCAATGAGGGTCAATATTTTATATGACTAACATATAAAATAATGACCCCTATGACTGTTTTTCTACAAAAAATGATTTTATTCTACGGGTAGGGGGTCATTTTTTGTCGTTGTAAAATGACCCCCGGTCATTATTCGATGGGGGTCATTATACGTCTTTACACCGGCACGTAAAACGATCCATGGAGAACCCTGTACATCCATGCATATTAATGTATTTTTTTTAATATCAAAGAAAATTGGAGATTCGGTAGAATAAGGATATGCAGAAAACAAACAGTATTCAGTCTAAAAAGTCCACAAAACAAGGTTTGATTGAAATGACTAATGGTTTAAAATTCGATATCGTGTATTGTGCTAGCAACTCGAGCACATATGGTATAACCAAAAAAACATTACCATCGCTCTATCCTCTGCACAGACACAGGTTTCTGATAATATTTAAAGTCTGAGAACTATTTTTTTGGAAATAAAATAGAAAACGAAAGATTACTAAAAAGGTAATTGTAATTAGGTATTTCCACTTATAATCCTGTTCTATTTATTGAAAATGAGAATGTAAAAACAATTTTTATATTTTATATTTTTTTTACCTTGGTAAGCAAAATATCCAATCACATATAGTGTAATTTTCATGGCTATGACATCTCTCAGTTGATGCACAGAAGACATCCATGAAAAATTAATAATTGTGATGATTAATGCTATGCTGATTACATTTTTTCTATTTCAGTTAATTTAGTTACTTAATTACGTTTGTAATCCATGTTATCATTTATAACATGTTTACAACCGACTACAATTTATTGATTTACGAAGGTTTCTTTTTTTATTTTTTGTAGGGATCTTTCCTTGAACAAAATTACCGTTATACCGAACAATGCCTTTAATGGTTTACAAAACCTTTCTAAACTGTAAGTATATATTAGTTTTACTCAGTTTTACATTCTGTATGTGTATTACCATTCCGTTTGTAAATATGTCCTTATCCACATACATATTCAGAAACTGGTATTGCTGGATAAGAAATATATCCCACAAACAATAGAAAGAATTACGTACTAGGTAGTAAGCTGTGCATATGGACATGTGTATTACCATTACTTTTGTAAACATGTCTATTTCCCCATACATATTCAGAACTTGGTATGGTTGGATGAAAATTCCCACAAACAATGGAAATCTTTGATCATACAGGGTATAAAACACCGCTCCTCCAAAGTTTTTAAGTGTGGGATCATGTGACAAGGAGAAGTAAGCATCCCTTATCGATTCCTCAAACCACCTGAAACCTACGTGTAATAGATCTATTGACATCTATTTTTATGAGGAAACACAGAGCGTTGAGGACTTTGATTGACATATATACTTTATTTGAAACAATGATCATTATGTAAGATAGATAAGATAAGATAAGCTTTATTTAAAGTCAGTATGGTAGTTAAAAAGTAACACAAGCTCTAATGAGCTTTTGACTGACATGTTTAACATATACATAACAGTAAAACAATGAAAACATGCAGCACTATATAAACATAGAATTACTTGCAACAGTACAGCACACAGTCTAATTTAAAGGACATCATCAGTTAAAGATACATATAAAAACACACATGTACAGACACATAAATAATACAGCACAGATGCATAGAGAAAGCAACAGGTATAGATATATAAGTCACAACATTACAAACATGCGAACAGTACATCGAGAGAAACATAAAAAGAACATAACAGGGAAAAAAAGAAAAGATAAACTGACACACATGCACAGACACACAAACAAAAGGACACAACTTACCTAGTGGAGCAGGCTGTACCCTTACATTCCTTACCGCTCCAAGAGGGATTCATAGATTTAAACTGTAAAAAATTGGTTTGACGTTTAAAATGTTCAGGTAAGGAGTTCCATAAAACTTGTGCTGCATATCTAAAAGACATTTTGCCATATGATGTAGTTCTCACTTTTGGTATTTCTAAAATGTTTGAATATCTAAAATTGTATGTCACTTTCTTAAAACTCACTAAGTCTGACAGTCATCTAGGAGAAAGGTCATGTAAAATCTTAAAACATTCCAGAGCCATGCTACGCATTCTTCTAATCTCTAATGATGGTAATTTTGCCTTAAGTAGTAATGACTCATAGCTACTTTCCAAATCTTCATATATAAACCGTGAAGCTCTTTTTTGAATTTTCTCAATTTTCCTGGTATATTTCTTGGAGCAGAAGTGCCATACAAGAGGACAGAAATTAAAATTTGACAAAATAAAATTATAAAATATTGTAATTTTGTTTGCCCGAGTTAATACTGAGCCAATGCGTTTAAACACATTTAATTGTTGAGCAGCTTTTTTACATATATAACTAATATAGACATCAAATTTGAGCATGAAATCAATATCAATTCATGATAATTTGACAGTCTCATTACACAAAATCTCTGCACCATCAATTTTGATACAGGGTTTTTATCAAAACTTTTCTTACCAAAGACAACTGCCTGAAATTTAGATGGATTGGCTTGCATACAGTTTTCTTAAAACCATTTCAATAATACAGAAATTTCATCTTGTAAAGTATTTATCAGAGTGTCAAAATCCTTATGCCAGTATGCTAAAGTATTTTCATCTGCAAAATTATACAAAGACCCATTCTTAATGAAATAAAAAAAAATGTCATTAATAAAAACATTGAAGAGTAGTGGTCCAAGGATGGAACCTTGTGGTACTCCCTTTTTAATACCAACCCAACTACTGACAACTCCCTGAAGTTTCACTTGCTGAAAGCGCTCAGACAAGTAGCTTCCTAGAATGGAGACAGAATTTAAAGATAAACCATAAGCAGAGAGTTTACTTAATAGTATGTCATGAGGCAAACAATCAAAAGCCTTAGAGAGGTCCATTAGAATAGCAGCAACATGTAAGTTCTGATCTAAAGCCATTTTCCAGTCTTCAAGGAGTCGCAGTAGTGTAGTTTGGCATCCATGACCTTTTCTAAATGCACAGAGTGCGTTGTTAAAAATACCATCAAAATAGTCAGAAAGTTGTACACATAAAACCTTTTCAAAAACCTTTGACACGGTTGGTAAAATACTAACAGGTCTATAATTACTTTTTAACAGAGGATCTTCTTTTTTGTATAAAAGAATGACCTGAGCTTGTTTCAGTCTATCAGGAAAAGTATCCTTTTGTACGGATTGGTTAACAAGAATAGAAATATGTTTACTCAGAACAGGTGCTCCAAATTTCAGGAGTTTAGCTGATATTGTATCTACATAAGTGGATTTCTTAACATCTAGTTTATTTATTAGCTTGGTCACTACTTCTTCATTAGTTTTTTTTAAATCAAATGTCTCAGTAAAAGCAAAATTTTCCCTGATGGCATTTAGACTACAATAATCTTTTTCATTAAAAACTACATCTTTCCCTATTTCACTAGCCACATTAGCATAAAATTCATTGAAAGTGTTGAAAGTTTCTATTGGGTCATTTAAAATCTTGTCATTTTCACATAAAATAATTGTATTTTCTGCGGACTTTGATTTTTTCGATAAGAATGGTTTAATTGTTTTCCAAAAATCTGAACTTTTTGTCCCCTAAACATCTTTCTTGAAAATAGTTTCTTATTGATACCCTTTTTAGTTTTGTAACATAATTCCTCTGTTTCCTAAACTCTTCCCAATTTTCATCTGTCTTACACTTGTCAAACTTGTTTTTCAGCATTTGCTTTTTATAAATAGCCCTTCTTAATTCACAGTTCATGTATGGTACATTATTTTTATGTTTTCGCCTTAAACTTCTTATAATCTTCTTCTTATATCAACTTCTTATTTTTGCTTAAGAAGTGACCATATGGTTAGGGTAGATTAATGACATTTATATTTAAGAATAAATCATAATCCAGTTTGTAACCCTTGTAATATTTACTTGATTATCTTCTCATATTCTTTTTTTTTATTATTATTATTTTTTAGTTTGAATAAATTTTCTAAATACAGAGACTTAAAATAAAATAAATGGACAACTATCCCTTTGGTATCAAATAAGTAATTATATAAAATCATGAAAAAACATGGGCATAAAATTAACAATTAAAATTTTGCAATGAAACACATGATTCATATAGGTGCTACCCATTGAACTTGTAGATACATCTTTTATTGTATTACATTTATTTTCATGTAACACTTTAATTGGTTTATGTACAGGATAATCCGATTTTTGCACAAGCGCTGAATTTTACATTACGGTTTTATTTTATATAGCACAATACGTGAAGCCATTTAAAGCATGTTAACTACTTCATCTAGGAAGCGAACAAGACACAATCTTCATATCTTCCACTCACCTTTCTTTTCCGGAATATTTTTTTCTGCCTTGATTACTACTTCTCATAAATATTGTATTGTAAGTTAAGTTTTTTCGCTTTCCCTTTATCTTATGTTTTCTTATCAATTATCAATTACGTAAGTACATTGATAGAGATTTAAATGGCAAAGTGAGACAATTATGGTATACATTAAGGCTTCTCCCAAAGTTAATTAAAATAAAATTTTCGGGACGCTGCACCATGAAAGAACGAAGGTGCATGCAAGGGTATTAGCATTTATCCAAATTCTTATACAACAAATTAGATTTGAAGCATATTATACTAGTATTTTTTTTTCAATGTTAAATCTCTTAATAGATTCATTATATAAAATGTTGTAAAGCAAAATTTAATTTTTAATACAGTAAGAGCTCTATATCTATTTGGGATTAAGCAAAAAAAGTGAGCCAAAATAATAAAAATAAAAAAAATGTTTCTTACTGCAAGTAATAATTACCTTATTGTAATGTGTAAATTCAACAAAGGTTTTGTATTACCTTTTTTCAGACATAAGCAATATAACTTCTTAAGTAATAAATGAATACATTTAAGGGGTTAAAAGAGTGCCTCCATCCGCCATGAACAACAAATTCTACAATAAATATAGTTTTCAAAAGATACGAAGTACCAGGTAGCCCGTGTACAGACTGGAGTACAATTGATTTATTTCTGTTTTCATCGACTTAGTCAACAGTGTGACAGGGCATGAAACAAGGACCTACAATAGATGGGACAAATTGCGTAGGAAAAAACATTCTTTGTCAAACCCGCCTTTAGTACAACGATACTCTGTATTTTGCCGAGTCACTATTGTTTTGTTACTTTGCACGGCGACAGTGAGAACTGAGGGGAAGGTAGATCTACTCCATTAAATGCTACTAACTGCAAAAGTAGGATATAAAGATAACGAGCAGTATTTAGTTTCAAAGTCCATTAAACAATACAAACTAAGAGCAGAGCAAACACGGACCACAGAAACCTCAGAGGTGGGATCAGGTGCCAAAATTAAATATTTTGTAGAACTCTGATTATTATATTTGCTCTGCTTTTGGGCGACATTGCTTCATCTATCAGTTTATTTTGTTTTATATCTATGGATCTTTTATATTGTTGTATATTTATCAGTTGACTAATTAAATCCCATTGCCTCTTCTTTTTCTGTAGACAGAAATTCTAGTATTTAATCAGTCTAATTATAAAGGAATGAGGCAAGGTACGTGTACATAAATTAGCGTATTTAAAATTGTTTGCAAACACTGGTCATGAGTGTTAGGTTGTTGGCCTATTAATTAATTAGCACTACACACATTTCCGCCGTATATTAAAACAAATTCATTATATGTAATAGAAGAAGTGCATATGCAATTTTGCAAAACGCTGCCTTCTTTTTATTATTCTATGAATTTTTTTTTTAATTACCTCAGTTTATTTAATACTTAATGATTAAATCTGATTGATTGAAAAAAAAATTCAAGGATCATAACGTATTTATATACTAAACGCGTTGAGGAATTATTTAGCAACATATAGGCATAATTCAAGGTTAC